GTCAGAATTAGATGTATGGGCGAATTGGAACAACAATTTGATGGTGTCACTAGCCGAAATTCCATGGGATCGAAGCAGAGCTCCCACAGGAGAAATGTTAGAACCCGTACTGGCTCTGGATCAAATGCTTCAGGGCATACTTCAACGCATGCATCGGGTCAAATATCAAGGACAGCTTCGAATACCAAGCAAGCTGGTACTGCACTAGTAATCAATCCTATGGATCCAAGAGCTCGTGTCCAGTTAAATGAGAGATCGGCAACTCCGCCACCAAACAATGCTAGGACTTTATGGTTTTCAATAGAGGTTGAGGATACCGGACCTGGTATTCCCGAGCATTTACAGGAGCGAGTCTTCGAGCCTTTCGTACAGGCTGATCTAGGTTTAAATAGGAAATATGGAGGAACCGGGTTGGGATTAAGTATTTGCTCCCAGTTAGCAGGCCTTATGGGAGGTTCTATCTCTCTCGTCAGTACACTTGGAGAAGGTTCCACGTTCAATGTTCAGTTGCCATTAAAATTCGTCAAGGAGCGAGCACCAAGCACATCTAGTTCTGATGTTATTGGTTCTCGGCCCGCAAGCATGGTTTCGCAATCAGAACTCGAACGTCATACTCCACAGGGTTCCATTGATGCCACAGCTGCTGTAGGATCCCCTGGAAAAGGTAACAGCAGTGCAGGCTATTCAATGGATACTCAACCTCGATTGGTGGGACTTCGACAGCCATTTTTTACATCATCCCCCACACCTCCACCTAACGAGGATAATGCGAAATCTCAACTCGCCGCGCTCGATCGCGCTGCCAAGGAGAAAGTCGGGGATAAGAAAATTCGAGTTCTGGTTGCCGAAGACAATCTTGTCAATCAAGAGGTGGTCCTTCGCATGCTTAAACTTGAAGACGTGTATGATGTAGTAGTTGCCAAGGACGGCCAGGAGGCATACGATAAGGTGAAGCAAAGCATGGAAGAGGGCACGTTCTTCAACTTGATCTTTATGGATATTCAAATGCCAAATCTGGATGGACTGCAAAGCACGAGATTAATCAGAGAAATGGGTTATTCTGCGCCCATTGTAGCACTAACCGCTTTTGCTGAAGAGAGTAATGTCAAAGAATGCTATGAGTCCGGAATGGATCATTTCCTAAGGTTTGTTCTCCGCCCACTTACTTTCGTTACAACCGGAAGACTAATCTTTCATAGTAAACCTATTCGACGACCAGCTCTCAAGCAAGTTCTCAAGAAATTCGCCACTATCCCAGAAGAGATAGAAGACTCCTCCGTAACTCGAAAAAGCACACCAGAAAAGGGGCAAACGTCGAAAAAACAACACAAAAATACATCCAGTCCAGCATCAAATTCTGAAGCTGACCTCATTAAACGACGGGACTCCTTCACCTCCCTCACCTTTAACCTCTACATGACCACGTTATAACACAACAGACAGAGCGCGTTTAATATCCGCATTTTACTTTTTTCACTTTTTTTTTTTCGCTTCATCAGGATACCCAGCTTATTATACACGAAAAAAGCATTTTAATATTTATTGCGCGATTGGAATGACACGAATTTTATTTATTCACCCAAGTCCTTCAGAATTGTATTTTCAAGGGGAAATTATTGGTTGCAGGTACAAAAAGTACTGATTAAAAGATATTGCATAATGGCGTTTGGGCGAACTGAAAGACCAGGAAACGAGACGATATAATAAAAGTTCACTGGTGGGGTTTTTTGATTGGGTTTACTTTTCCTTATCTGAAACTTGTATTTTTGAAACCAGTCGAAGACTTTTCAAGTCCGATGGATGGAAGAGTGGACGGACGAGTGAATGGATGGGGGAAATGATTGAACATCTGGAGTTGACAAGTTCGAATAGTGGCATGCATGGCAGAATAATGAAAGATGATAAGATGTGAAGGATCGGCATAGTGGTTCAAGGGGTTCATGAATGGGTGGGGGACAGAAGGAGTTGGATATTTTGATCTGAATGGGATTTCAGAAATGATAGGAGGGAGATTGATTGTGGTGGAATGGTTGAAAAGTGGATGAGTGGGATAGTAGGAGGCAGGCGATCACATTGGCAAGTTAGTAAGACGCGAAGAGAAATGAACGTAGATGCAAATAATCGCATGTCATCTCTCGTATTTTTCGCCTCGCGAACCTTTGAATGGATGAGTGAATGCGTGAATAAATGAACGTGTGATGACATGTATGTGATAAGCGAGTTAAAGAAAGCGTGTCGCAAAGAAAACCATAAGTGAAAATCAAACGCGAGTAGTTTTTGCGCATTTAATAGGTATCTACTCTTGTGTATATATCAATCCCTTGAAGTCGAATCGATAAATTGCAAAATGGAATTCAAAGCTATTCTATTAGGTCGTGATACTTACTGCCTGTCAACTACTTAGTACGAACTAATGTACCAATAGATCTGGAGGTTAGGAAACGGATTGTGAGCATCTGATTATATTTTTCGAATGGGTGAATTGAATTGAATTGATTTGGTGTATCTTGTAATAGAATCGGAGTAGAATTAAATATGATATTAAGCCATAACTAACAACCAATTATTTCCAAACAAGGCGGTTGCTTTCGCGTTTATGTTAAGGTTATCGCCGCGTTTTTTTGGAGGGGGGTGGTTATTTTGTTTGTTTGGATTGGTCTGGGTTTGGTCTGAGTCGGGGGAGGGGTAGATACAGGGAGAGAGCCTCAGAGGGAAGAAAGAGAGGGGGATAAAGCAAAAAGTAAGGTTAAAGGTAAAAGAAAGGGTATACGAAGGAAGACGGGTGGGTGGGTGTATTGGTATCCAATGCCTGTCCTCCCAATCCCGATGTGTACAGAGCACGGAGTACCTACATATCCAACGCCTTCATGCTCGCAACTCGTCCACCAGGTCGGCTCGTTTAACCTTGTTGGGTTTTCGTTCGCTGAGGTCGTTGTTGATACTACGTATGTAGTAAGTAAGTAGTAAGTAACCAGTAATCTTACCTACCACCCATTCTGAAGTTTTGTCTCCTCATTCGTGTCTTTCGACTTTCGAGTTTCGAGTTTCGACTCTGAACTGTAGATTAGACTAACCGAAGAAAAATAAGCATGAGTAACATCTACCTACCAATCTATTCTCTCCACTCCCCCTCATACCAAATACCGCGTTTCCACTCCCTACTTTCCAATTTCCAACTTGCAAAACGGTTTCTCAAAGGTTATCTGTATCCTATTCTCTTGCTTCCAATTATCGTTCTTGAAACATATATGCATACATGTACATTGCATATAGGTTAGAATACACGAAGTATCTACATCCTTACCCCTCTTTCTTCCCCCTGCCCTACCCGAAACTTATGGTTAACAATTCTCCGCCAAGATCTGATGCTGGCGAATTGATTCCTTGTTCGTATGCGGATAATCTAGTCATATCAAAATTCATCCATCCATCCATACAAACACAAAATAAACATAATATCCGTATACTCACCCCCCGTCTCTTATCCATCACACTACGCTCCAAGCCATGCAATCCGATTTACAGCTACATGATACGACATGAAATGAAATGACATAAAACCCTAGTCCATACCATGCCCCTCGCATAAGCAAATGCACATACCCATCCACTCAACGCGGCTATCGCGCTCTCTCCTCGTGGGGTTTTCGCGAGCATTTCGCGTTTAGTGTTCTGGGGTGAAATAGAGTGGCTTTGTGGAATCCCGGGGAGGGAGGCGTTCGGTAAATCATCATAGTGCAAGAATGTGTTTACTTGCTTGCTTGTGCAGTAGACCCTGTGTGTCGGACGAGCAAGTGTGAGTCAGAGGTTAGTTCGATTGAGAGACGGGATGGGGAAGAGAAAGGGAAGGGAAGATTTGATGCGAGGAATGGGTTTTTTGTGTGCGGCATTTCGAGATTTGGAGGAGGGGAAGGAAATTGTGGAGTTTGTGGAGGATGGGGTATAGTTTATAAAGAAAGGGGAGGGGACTGAGGTTGTTTTTTTGTTTTTTGTTTTTCCTTTCGTAACTTTTGTGTTTGTTTTTTGAATTGCGATTTGAGGTTACACACTCAATCGATTGATGTTGATGACGACGAGGGTTTTTTGTGATGAGATTGAGTGAGATTATATATATCGTTGAGTTGCGAGTAGTGGATTGAGATTTGTTTATTCATTCATTTGGAATCTATATTCAGCTCACTTCGACTTCTCAATCTCAATTGATCTTTTCAAATCTTTTAGTCTTCATTTGTATCCCGCTTCAAAATTTCATCAACGACGATATTTATCTATCAATATCAAGCAGGACTTGACTTCATACTCCCTCCAATCCCTTTCCCAAGCGATATGCGCAAGTTATGGCCACCACCAACCCAACAATCAACCGCCTCTGGCGATCCCAAAATATCATCACCAATATTCTCACCCACTTAGATACATCCTCCCAATGTTCCCTCCGCCTTGTATCCACTGAAATCTGCGGCCTGATAACCAGCGAGATCTTCATCCGAACCCGTAAAACCTTCACTCCCACCTCACTCACTCGACCTTCCCGTCTAGAAGCTCTCTCTCGGATCGGAAAATACATTCAACACCTGATATTCTACATGCCTCACTCCAATGCTACATTTCTTCCTCCTCTCTTGAACCCTATCACTGGTCAGGAGATCAACTTCCTGTATACACCACATACCAGCATGGCCCCTCACAACGAAAGGGCCTAATATCGACGTCCCAAGTATGGATGTCCTGAGCTAGGCGAGATATTGACTCAACAATATCCACCTCTCTTTCATGCCGCGACCAATATCCCCACATTCATTAAAGCGCTATCTTATCTACCCAACCTGCGCCATCTGACAATCTCATGTCCAGATCAAGATCCTTCGCAGAGGTATAGAAGGGATATTGTCGATTATGCACTTATAAGCCTACGCATTGCCATTGAGAGAGCACCGGTATTGAAGTTGGAGAAACTGTCCATCCACATCCATCCATCTGGACTGCAATACCTGCGTCATATGCCTGGTTTGGGTGTACCCCCATCTGCAGGACGACGATGGAGACAAATAAGAAAGCTCAGCATCACGATGGATTCATGGGACTTCCAGAGTTTACTGCCTGGTCGCGATCATTTGAAGATTTTGGATGATTACATTCGGAACTTTGCGCCGAGTTTGGAGAAAGTGAGTTTTGGATGGCATGGAAGGAAAGGTCCTTGTCCGTATTCTCTATTCAGTGATCCATTATTCGCGCCACCAAAAGAGACGATCAAGTTATTTGGAGAAGTGACATCCCCGATGTCGCCATTACCAGCTGCTCCTCCAAGACCACCAATGGTATTTCCCAAACTGCGATATATGCAAGTGAGGAATGCCACGATGTCGGAGCAGCAAGTCGCGGATTTCATTTATGAACATCGACACACGGTGAAAGAATTTGATTTTGAGAATACCACGTTGATAAATGGTGGCACTTGGGAGCGAGCATTGGCACCATTGACGTCGAGACATTGTCGAAGCAGTGATGAATGGTTGTCTCAACCGAGCGGATCTGATGTTAATAGTTTGCAATATCAGAGTGGTAGTGAATTGTATGATATTGAAGAGGCACCGGAGGTAATTGATACTTGCTCTGGCGTAACATTGCCTGGTATGAAGGAGTCATCGATAACAGGTACAAAGCTCAAGAGAAAGAGGTCGCATCATCGCAGACGGAGACGCAAGCATAGGCAAAAGGAAAATGAGAATGAGAAGAATGATGAAGACGATTCTGGTAAAGAGGTAAAACTAAAGATTTCGGCTCCAATACCGATTGCTTCGCCTCCAGTAGAGTTATTGCACCCAATGACTTTTGATCCCAATATACAAGGCGTTCAGCGTAACTTTGAAAAGGAGGATGCTCAACAGGAATTGATTGATGATCCTGATAAGAGGATAATGGCTTTGAAGAATGCAAGAGAAGCTGTGCTAAAGCAGCTTGGCAAAGAGTTCTGCAAGACTCAAGATAAAAAAGAACGGGTATTGACAGCCTGGCCCAAGCCTTTGCAACTAGGGGCCTCATGTTCGTCGCCAAAGAAGTCCAGAGGGTTTTTTGGTCATGAGAGTAGTACCGCATTGGTACCTTTGATGTTTAGTCGGTGTTAGCCAACAGGATGAGATTGGCATATTGTGGTTACTTTGACGATTTTATGTATGGATAATGAATTATGATTATGACTTTCAGAACTCATCTTCTCAATTGTGATCGCTGCTATCGAAATCACCCTGATTATGAACGACGGTAAAGGTGTACCTGGTATCGCATATTTTCCAAAGGAATTGGATATCGGAGAGTTTCGGGTAGTCTAAACCACTGAGAGTCCTCGGAGTGGACTTTAACCCAGTCAGGAACGCTCTCTTTCCCCTTGACTTTTGTGTCTCAATCAAAAAATGGTCAAGTAAAAACTTCATCGGATATTTCTTCTCTTCTGTACCGACTGTGGTTTCTGAATATGACCCTGGACTATCCACAACTAGAAGTAGGGACCCTTTTGGAAGAATTGACGTAATGTTGAGTAAGAAAGCAGTCGTTTTGCTAATTGATGCCGTGTATAACTCATTTAGGGTAAAGAATAAGGTAACAAGAACGGGCTTTTTGCCAGACAGATTACCAAGCTCAGCTTGACTCATTGCTAATACATCATGTTCCAGAAACTTTGTAGTGAAATCTTCAGGCTTAACAAGAGCCGAATTTGCTGCTTTAGCAGATGCGCTTGCATATTTGGATATTGGTGGCGGAGTTGTGATACCGGTGTGAAGTTTTTTGACAACATTTGCCCAGGATGCTGTATCGACAAGTAGTAATTCGATGCTATCGTTTGCATCAGATAAAGTAAGGGAAGCCATTGCATCATCCGCGGTTGGTGGAGTCGCTCCCGTGTCTGAAGTTTCAAATCCATGCTTTAAGAAGCCTCCGAATGCAACAACTTCGGCTGCGCCCCCGCCGATGGATATAACTCGTGCTGTTGACTTAGAAGGAGCTGTGGATGGAGCAGCGTCGGTCGTGGCCTCAGAGTCAACTTTCATTTGAGCGCTCTTATCACGTGGCAGTATTTCTCCAAAATGTTCTTGAAGGTCCAAAAGAATTGAAGCATAGCATAATGACCTGCTGGGTGACCATCTTGCAGAATAAACATCGAGATATTCGTCGTTTCCGAATGCACGACTGAAATCTCTATCATATAAAGCTCCTTTGACCGTCCTGCAAAAGCTGTTGAAAATTATCAGAATCGATAACACCTGAATATGCGTCTCTGAAAACATTCAACAAGAGCTTGTTGCAACTTCACAGGAAGAAGAGATTCTTTAGGTAGATCTTCTCCTCTTCTTGGTTTGCCTTTCTTGGTTTTGGTTCGGCTTTTTTTTGTGAATCCTGGACCTTTCCATCCGGGTCGCCCAGGAAGGTCTTTACCAACAACTTTTCCATAGTCTTTGCCGAATTTTCCGTTTTTAACCCATGATGAGAGATGATGTTCAAAGTTATTTTTCTTTTGCGTAATACGAAGTGTTATATGTTATCGATCAGTTTGCTCAGTTGAGAAGAAATCTTCTGCGGTGCGAGATTCTCTTCGCTTGAGAAATTTCAAACTAGCGCCATATCATAGGTACCCCCAGAATTTATTTGCGATTCAAAAATGACTGATTATATTCGAAAAGACCATTCACTATCACTAGATAAGGATCCCATTGACATTGATAAACAAATAGTTCTTGGGCTTGGCGGAGGTTGAAAAATGATTCTTTTGGCTAATCACTTTTCCGTGTCGACTGACTTCTTCTTCGTCGTCAGGAAACCATAAGAATTGTCCCCGGTGAGCCGTTTACCTTCACGTAACCCTATTAACCATCTTTCAAAGTTTTGATTCAGGGTCGACAATGAAATAGCCACCAGGACTATTTAATAAGTACAGATTTATTGTTATTCTGTTAACATTTTCAAATATTCAAGGTTGAAGTGATGAATGATTAACAACCAAGTACTTATCATGGTAAATTGAGATATCCCTAGTCCGGTAGTGTTGATCCTGTGAGCTAAAACTACGTACCAATTGATCCTTCATTCTCCAAACTTTAATTCCACTCTCTAAAGATCCACCCACATCCTTCCTCATATGACCTCGATGATAATTATATAGACACTGCCAGTATGCCTGGCCTCGTTCGTAAACTTCTTATCTTTGCCGCCATCGATGGGTTGATTTTGCAACCAACAGCGCCAAAAGGCCAACGCCCCGCCCCCGCAACGAAGATCACATACAAAGATAAGCATATCGGGCAAGTATTGAGTGATTCACGGGATGTGGAGGGGTCACCTGCTAAAAGCTTCGAGGCATTTGGTATTGTCGGTATGTGTTCGCGATATTGAGCGTGTGTATATGTCTAATCATCTCTAGGTCCTCTTGACGGTTTCCAAAACCTCCTTCCTGATATCAATTACGAAAAGAGAGCAAGTCGCACAAATACAAGGGAAACCTATATATGTTATTACTGAAGTGGCTTTAACCCCATTAAGTTCCAAGAACGAGGCAGAGATCTCGATTGACAGTACGAAAGCGGGGTTATTGAAGAGTACTACTGAGGGGCAGCATGGCTTGGACGAGAGTGATAGCGAGGATGATGTCGTTAGTGACGAAGTGGAGGACGATACAGCCGTAGAAGCACACAAAAGAACGAGCAGCGTGGCTGAGGATGTGATCTCGAAGAAGGGGGGATATGGAAGATTTGCACAAAAATGGTTCTCGAAGAAAGGATGGGCTGTGGACCAGAAGAAGAACCTGGGAATGAGCGTTGAGCCGTATTCTACAGTAGAGCAAGATGCCAAGGCCACAGGTGTATCAGCTACAATTTCGGAAGCCGCTGAAGGGAAACCTGATATCTCAATTCACCATAAGGGCAAGGACACTGAGGTGGTTGAAACTCCTGAAAATATTAGCGACATCGCGGAGAGCATGCTGCCAAAATTACTACGAACATCACAGATATTGTTTGGGGCCTCTAGGAGTTACTATTTCTCTTATGACCACGATATCACAAGAAGTTTGGCAAATAAGAGGAATACAAACTCTGAATTACCATTGCATAAGGAAGTTGATCCACTCTTCTTCTGGAATCGACATCTTGTGTTACCATTTATTGATGCTGGCCAGTCTTCTCTTGCCTTGCCTCTTATGCAGGGCTTTGTAGGACAGCGTGCATTTTCGATGGATAGCAATCCACCAAACCCTGTTGTAGGTTCAGACACTGGGAAGACTTCCATGGAGATGAATGATATTACAACAAGTAGTTCAGATGAACAAATTTTCACAGCACGTGCTGGTACAGAAAAGTCATATTTATTGACATTAATATCTAGAAGGTCAGTCAAACGTGCCGGGCTTAGATATTTACGTCGAGGTGTGGATGAGGACGGCAATACCGCCAATGGTGTGGAAACAGAGCAAATCTTATCGGATTCTGTTTGGGGTTCTTCGAGTAAGATATATTCGTTCGTCCAGATACGTGGCAGTATTCCCATCTTCTTCTCCCAGTCACCTTACTCTTTTAAGCCTGTGCCTCAAGTTCACCACTCTACCGAAACAAATTATGATGCTTTCAAGAAGCATTTTGATAATATAAGTGATCGCTACGGGGCCATTCAAGTGGCTTCCTTGGTAGAGAAACATGGAAACGAGGCAATAGTTGGCGGAGAGTACGAGAAATTGATGACTCTTCTTAACGTTTCCCGAGCTAGCGAGCTTAAAAAATCCATTGGATTTGAATGGTTTGATTTCCATGCTATTTGCAAAGGCATGAAGTTTGAGAATGTTAGCCTGCTCATGGAAATACTGGGCAAGAAGCTTGACTCGTTCTCGAACACTGTAGAAGTCGATGGGAAACTTGTATCGAAACAGAATGGCGTTTTAAGGACTAACTGTATGGATTGTCTGGATCGAACAAATGTTGTTCAAAGTGCAGTAGCAAAGCGAGCCCTTGAAATACAGTTAAAGAATGAGGGGCTAGATATCACTCTACAAGTCGATCAAACCCAGCAATGGTTTAACACTTTGTGGGCCGACAATGGTGACGCCATTTCTAAGCAATATGCCTCTACAGCAGCATTGAAGGGAGACTTCACTCGTACCAGAAAGCGGGATTACAAGGGAGCTATCACAGATATGGGGCTTTCTATCTCCAGATTTTACAGCGGGTACGTCAAACTTTGAATTAAAAACTTAAGATGCTAATTGATTTTTAGTATTGTGAATGACTACTTCAGTCAAGCCGCCATTGATTTCTTGCTAGGAAATGTGAGCTATCTTGTGTTCGAAGATTTCGAGGCGAATATGATGAGTGGTGATCCTGGCGTTTCAATGCAAAAAATGAGGCAACAAGCTATCGACGTTTCTCAGAAACTCGTCGTTGCTGACGATCGTGAAGAATTTATTGGAGGATGGACATTTCTCACTCCGCAAGTACCAGATACGATCAAATCCAGTCCTTTTGAGGAATCTGTCCTCCTATTGACAGATGCGGCATTGTATATGTGCCACTTTGATTGGAATATCGAGAAAGTATCATCTTTCGTGAGAGTGGACTTAAACCAGGTGACCGGTATCAAGTTTGGAACATACATCACGAGTACTTTGTCACAAGCTCAGGCTGATGAGAAGAGAAATGTGGGCTTTGTAATCACTTATAAAGCTGGTTCAAACGATATTATTCGTGTGAACACGAGATCTATGGCTACGGAATTTCCTTCTTCGAAACTATCCCTTGAAGAGAAAACATCCACGTCCACATCCACATCTACTACCAACTCTGTCGTTGCCCCAATTGCCGCCGGGTTTGCAAACCTAATCTCAGGTCTACAAAATCAAAGTATAGCGGAACCTAAAGATGTTGTGAAGGTTCTCGCATTCAAGGCTCTGCCCTCCAGATCTGCGGTATCAGATGAGGGAGTTAGTGAGGCCGAGCAAGTGAAGAGTGTCTGTGGAGAGATTAGAAGAATGGTTGAGATTGGAAGTATAAGAGAGACTGGAGAGGAGAGAAAGGATATTGTAGAGGAGGGTACTATCATTAGTTTGGCCGAGGCCAAGAAAAGCACGGGACTATTCGATGTGTTGGGA